TCATTTGTATTTTTTTTTAATAATTTAATTATAATTCTTTCTTAATTAATTAATAGTAAAACTTTATTAATCATTATTGACATTCTACTTTCAATAACAATATTATTTTAATAAATAGTATAAATATAATTATAATATTACATTAGATATTTAGTAATAAAACTTTTCATTGACCTTTCTTTTTTATTAGTCATAATGAAATTTACAAAGAAAAATATAAAATCTATTCTAATCATATTAACATTTTTAATGAGTTTTTATTTCACTAAACTCCGTTCATAATACTAACAAATTTTAGAACTAATTGGATATTTTTTATTTATTATTCAACTATTTAATAAATATTCTGTTTTATGTATAATTTTCATTTTTTACTATTTACATAACAAAAATGCTCTAGCTGGTTGTTATTAAGAAAAAACTTTCTATAATAAAACAAACCAAATATTAATTTTACTTCCATTCATATAAAATAGAGATGATATAAATTATCGCATTTTTTTATAGAAATATCAACAAAAAAATTCAATTTTTATCATTGGCTGTTTCTTTTTCAAATAAAACAATTAACCAAAGATTATCTTGAAAAACTCTTTTAGTGATACATAAAAATAAATGTTATTAATAAAAAAAAAGAAATAATATATAAATTCCTTCATTCAAAGAAGCATTTTTGATATTTGTTTTTTTAAATAAATTTTCAATGATATTTTATATGAATTAACAATAATATAAACAGATGAAAAATTTCATAAAAAAAGATTAATTAAATATTTAATAATCATTGAAATATTGGAATTAAAAAATCTATTGCTTCTAATAAAATATCATATTCAACTTCTTGAACTTGTTTTTGCATTTGGTCCATCATAAGTTGAGTAATATCTTGATTCTTTTTCTTATTTTTTTCTTTCTTATTTTCTTCTTCTTTTTCTTTAAGTATTTTACGTTCTTTAATTTCTTTTCCAACATCATCTTCTAATTTTCCTTTAATTTCAATAGGATTATCATTTTCTTCTTCATTCTTTTTGGGTTTACTTTCATCATTTTTCTTTTTTTCAATTTCATCTGTTTTTTTTTTTTCTTCAGAAAGACATTTTTCTCTTTTAGCTTTTGTTGGAAACCTTTTTTTTCTTTCTTCTATCCATTTTTGTAATTGTTCTTCTGTCATACTTGATTTAATGAACTTATTCATTTTGCTTAATTTGAACAAGAAAATGAGATGAGATTAAATAAGAAAATAAACTTATGACTGCCATTATTTTTGAATTAGAAAAACTAAAAATCAAAATCTCAAAAACAAGAAAAACAAAATTTTATTAGAAGAACAAAGAAGTCTTTGAAATGTCACATTTTGATGAGTCATATTCTCAAGTTTTCTTTGGCTATAACTCTGGTGATTCAGAGAGTTCTTTTATCGGAGATAAACCAATAATTAGAGAAATAAGTGAAGATAGTAGTGTATTATTCCATACAAAAAAACGAAGATCATCTCGTGTTCCTAATATGAGTCGTCATATCACTTGTTTTGAAAATGACTTTGGAGGTTCAATTGAAATGTTTAGTTATTCACAATATTTACAATTAGTTAAAACAAAACAACAGTTGATTGATTGTAATATCATATTATTACTATTTACTTATTTATCTAAAGGAACATATAAAATTTTTACTCAGTTCTTACTCGATATATTACCCCAATTGTTTGTTTAGAAATTTTAATATTAAATATGTTTTATTACTAATGATTAGAGATGAATTTTCATTAATAGTATTAACTGAATATATTAGTACAGAATATCCATTTAAATCATACCTTAAAGATACTGTCAACTTAACACCTCTTTTTAAACAATCATTAGAGATGAAAAGTCGTGCTTTGTTACAATTTTATTTAGAAATTAAATCACTTCCAGATGAAGATTTAACTCCAGTTTTATCTTCTCTTCTTAAAGAACTTCATGATTCACCAACTGAACAAACATATTCTTTTACATCATTTTTAATTGAAAGAATGATTGGACTTGGACTTCTTTCAGATAATATTGTATATGATTATGTTATTGTATTATTAAAATTATATCTTTCTTCTTCGAAATTACTTCCTGGAGTTATTCAGTCTTTACTTCTTCTTTCAGAAAGTAAAATGAAACAACAATTTCTTGATGTTTTAAATCATTATAGACTATCTCAACAATTAACTTTAGACCAACAACATTTTCTCTCCTTCTTCTTTGAAGGAGAACAATCAAATGAATATCAATATGATAATATTGTTTATCATATAGATCTTTCTTTTATTATCTCTAAAATTGAGTCATTATATATTTCTCAAAAATCAAATCATTACGTATTAATTAAAGCAGATAATCAACTACCATTAAGTATTTCTCAAATGTTAAATATCATTCAATTTCTTTCAAATGAACTTCATTCAAATCCATTAAATTCTCTTCATTCATTAAAAATTGTTTTATCAAATCTTCTTAATTTGACTCATCCATTATCTCCTGACTTTCTTCATTCTGATAAACTCATATCAATTCTTTTTGATATTATTCCAATATTATGTTCTTTTCATCCTGACACATTTTCTTTGATTTATTCAATTAAAGAAGTTCTTTATTATGACCTTATTCTATTAGTAAATCTTTCATCAAGTTTTCCTTGTCTTCAAATAAATGCAAATCAATTATTACTAGAACATTTTCCATTATTAAAAGACAACTTAATTACATGTTCATTATGTTTCTGTTGTTTTTCTTGCTTTAATTATTATAATCCAATCTTTACAGATGATACATTAACTTCAATATTAGAATATTGTGTTGAATTATTCTTTGAAAATGATGAATTTCAAATAGATGCTTTTATAACACAAACTGAATTTAATAGATTCATTCCATTAACATCTAAAATACTTCCATTTACTTCTCAAGTTACAACACCATTCTTACATTGTATCGAGCATTCTTTTATTTGTTTTTCTTCATTAAAGATTTTTCTTAACTTTCTTAAGAAATGTCAAATTCTTTATGATGAAATAGCAGAAAGAGGTTCAGTTAAAAGAAGAGACCTTATTAATTACATTAAACAACATAATCCTTTACTTTGTCTTGAAATAATTATTGGATATTTAGAATCATCATCAATAATAATGGAAAAATTATATAGTAAACGTGAACGACTACAATATTGTGGATTAGTTAATAACGCAATTCAATTAGCAAACAAAATGATTGAACTTATTTCACTTAAATTTACAAATAATACTCAATTTATTTCTGAGGTAGAAAGAATACGAAATAAATTACTTAGTGTAACTGAGAATAATGATTTAATTAAAAAATTCATCAATTCAAATTACTTTAAATTAATTATTCCTGAAGAAGAACCAAAAATTGATTTAATTGAAAAAATGAAAGGAGAATTAAATAAAAATGAAAATAAATAAATACTTTTTATATAATTCTTTTAAATAGTTTCAATTTATTTAAAGTTTTTATTTTTTGTTTAAAAAACTAAAAAAACGATGAATTGGGAAAGAATTGTTCAAATACCAGAAAAATATAAGAAAAGATATCAGAAATCATATATACTAATAATTGTTACAGGAATTTCTTTAATCACATTTACTACATTCATTATTATATCTTTTCCTTTAATTAATCTTAATAAATTAAAACATAAAGAATATTTATATTTATCTTCAGAACAAATAGAAACTCATAAAGTTAATAATTTTAATGTGCAAAAAAATAATTGGAAAGATAACGTTATTGATGTGGCTACTTTTAACTATGAAGGAAAATGTAAAAACTTCTTTCAATTTAAACCAAACAATAAAAGAGATTTATTAGTATATTCATTTGGATTTTTTACAAAAGGGATTTATATGAAACAAAGAACTGCTGCTTTAAAAACACTTTCTATAACAAGACAAGCTATTCCTCATGCAAAGATTGTTGCTTTATTATTATGGCCATCACCTACACCTTTATTATATGATGATATGAAAAAATATAATGTAGAAGTGGTTGACATGAGTGATATACCATTTGGACATTTTGTAGTTACTAGATATATTGCTTTTACCAGATATATTAAACGACACCAAAGTGATTATGATAGAGTAATATTTTCTGATACGAGAGATGTTGTTATATTTAATGATATATTTGCTACATTTGGTGTTAATGATCTAATATGGACAACTGAATGTCCATTTGCAACTAATTCTACTTCAAATGAATTATCATTAGACTTTTGTTGTTCTCCAGCAAATAACCATAATCATTTCCAATGGTTAGAATCATTTTTTGGAGATGAAATAACAAGAAATAGTGTTATTAATAAACAAATTTCGTTAAATGGTGGATTTGGAATGGGTGGAATGAAAAAAATGATAATTGCAATGAATTCTTTTGTAAAAAGAATGAGATGGTTTCCTTCTTTCTTCTTTGGATATGACCAAGCATTAATGAATGTGTTATATTATTCAAAAGAATTTGGAGTTGAAATGAAATTAGAAGGATGTACACAAAGGAGTTGTTTTTATGGAAAACATCTATTAAAACTTAAAAATAAATCAGTTATTTATTCAGATACTGGATGTAGTCCAATTGTAGTTCATAAATTAACATTAACAAATTCTGATTATCATATGACTTAAACAATTATTTATTAAAAGTTTTTTAATTTTTTAAAATTAAAAGAATAAATGAATATGAAAAGGATATGAAATTAATTGTTGCATTTAAATACATTTGTGTTGTAAAAAAAAGCTTTGTTCAAAGAAGGTTTTGAACAAAACCATTAAAATCATCTAATTTAATATTTTCATTAAGAACTTTAGACAGACTAGGTAATGGAGTAACTTCAGGACTAATATCATTCATTGAATATTTATACATTGAAGAAAGAGAAGGTAATGCACATTTTTTATCTTTTTCATTTAGAATAAATTCTTCTTGAGAACATTCAGTTGACATTAATTTCTCTGAATTCATATTGTTATATTCACAACAATTATTTTCTGAACATTCCCAAGGTGCTTCATATTTACGTAATTTCCAAACACCAGTTTTATTCATTGTTGATTTACCTGACTCAAATAAATTACAATGAATCATAGCGTCTAAAATAGCTTTTTTCCATTTATTTGGATTAGTTCTAAATTGGTCTAATTGTGAAAAAAGATACCAATGATCAACAATAAACCAATGAACATCATATTTTAAAGAAAAATATCCATTCTTTTTATAAATCACTGATAAACAATAAAAAATAACTCTACAAATATACTGCCATGAAATAACATTTCTTGATCGTTCTTTTGCTAAAACAGCCATTCCTTTTTGGCATAATGGACAAAAACAAAGTTTTAAATGATATGGTTCATTATCTTCTAAAACAGGAGTAGAGTCTATTGCATCAAATACTGGAAATTTTCTAGTATTACAGTATTGATTCATTTGAGATGTTTGCATTTAGTTAATGAGTAGTTTAACCTTAGATCTGATAAATAACAAGCTCCACGTCATTTTAGTTCTAATTTTGGAATCTATTTTGAAAAATACTATTTTTTCTCTTTTTTGTAACCATCTTTCATACAATGCTTCTTTTTTCTGTAAATTAATTTTAATGTAATCTCCCGATATTTTATTATTTTTTTATTAAAATACTTCTTTTAAAATAAATAAAATTGTTTAATTTGTTGAAAAAACAATTGAAAAAAATCCATTTAATTTGATTTTATTTGTTTCTTTGCAAAAATAGAATTTTATTTTTATATTTAAAAGAAAGGAAAAATTTCTATTTCGTTGGAATGTAATTATGTGTTAGTTCTTTATTAAAAACTATTCTAAAAAACAATAAATTTAAACGTTGAATTTTCTAAAAAAACTTATAAAAATAAATAATAACAAGTTTTTATAGCAATTTTATTATTAAAATATAATGTTATTTAAGAAATAGGAGTGATGAATTGTTTTCAAAATCTGTATTTTTAACTATTTATGATTTGAGAGATAAAGATAGACAATGAAAACAATAATCCGTTTGACATTCTCGACAATGAAATAATAAAGAAAATTTGTTTTTACCAAAGACTTGTTGACAATAATCACATTTCCACCACTTACCAGGATAAAGAATTGAAGGACTAGAAACATAAAGTGCATGAGGATGAAATGATGGGATATAAAGAGATTCAAAACATTGTTTACAATATACCATAACACATTGATTACATCTAAATAATTTATCATTATTTTCTTTATGACAATCACAACATTTCCCTCTACTTTCATAATCTGGTTCAAAAGTATGATTTAAATGATGATAATGAGCAATAACCTGATGATAACAAGATGCACAAACATCAAACTCACATTCATCGCAATGATACATTAATTCATTTCTTAATGGTTTAGAGCCACATAAATCACACTTCCACCATCCATGATTTTCTTTATATACTTCAAATGGATCTGTAAGAAATAATGGATGACAATGTATCAAATGGTACATTTGTTGTTGAATATTCATTTTTGAATATAGATACTTTGTAATACTTATCAAGTATCTTTCATACAAAGTGATTAATAACAAAACCAATCATTAAGAAAGTAAATACATAATAAGATTTTATTTTTAACAAAACACAAGTTAATACTTTAAAATAAACACAAAGAAGTTTTACAAACAAATGAATTAAAAACTTGTTTTTTTTTATATTTCAAATGAATTGATTAGAATTGATTTGATATAATAATCATTTAGTAGAAATAAATATTATAAAACTACTTTCTTTAGAACACAACACTTACTTCTCCACTTGACGTTAAATAACGGTCTGGTAATGTATTAGTATTTAATGTAAATGAAATTCGTTGATTTCTTATTACAGGTGTAGATGGTTGTGAAGCCATAGGACAATGAATTCGTCTTTCAGAAACACTTTTGATACATTTATCCATCCCTTCTTTAATACTATTACTTTGTATATCATCTCTTCCTTCAGAAAGAGTTGATGTATTTCTTTGTTTAGAAGTTGATCTTGAAATGTCTCTAGTAACAGAGGATGAATCAACAATAATACGTGTGAAATAAATAATATTCATCATTTGTTCATTTAATTCCCTCTGAAAATTTTCATTAACCACTTTTAAATTATTAGTAAGCATATTAATATCAGCACCTTTAATCACTTCAGGAATTTGAATTCCTGCTAATTCAACAAGAGTTTCTTGATTTTTAATCATTCTAGCACAAAGTAACTCTTGAAAAGTTTCCAAATCAACAGGAGTAAATAAAGGAGCATTTGGGAAGTAATTTCTTACATTTGGATTTTCTAATGTTTTTTTAAAAAAAGATTGACATTCTTGGAATCGAAGTAAAATTTTTAGTGAAGTTTTTAATGAATTAGGAGGTGCATTAATTATGGTATCAAAGTAAGCTTGTATATAACAACATAGTCTATAGAAAGTAGTCGTTAATTCTTTAATAAAGAAATTGATTATATATAAATGGAATTTATTAATAAAGAAACGTGGATTATTCCAGTCTAATGAAATAAAATTAAAAAACATAGAAGTTAAAGTGTCTAATAATATGAGCCATATCTATTTAAAATTTATATTTTATTAGCTTAACTAAAATAAATAGAAACAAACTAATAGTTTGATCATATGATTTATCTGAATGAAGAATAGATATTTTATCAAGTGTAATTGACCTGTCTAAAGCAGTAGAATCATCAACATACAAAGAAGTATATAAATCAAGATGATTTGAAAAAACAATCATTAGCTCTTTTTCTTCTTGTGTCTTATAATTTACAGGAATATGGGTAATGAATTGAACAGAATTTGATACAATTTTCATTAATAATGCATTATCTGAATCATGTTTAATAATAATAAATATAACACAAAGAAGACGAAGATATTCGTTAGTAGTCAAGTTACTTTTAATACGAGTTAATATCTCATGATTTAACAACTGAGATGACATTAAATCTTTTTCCATTTCTTTTAATTTTTTAACAATGTTTTTAGGAATTTTTCCATTTTCAGTTTTCAATGCTTTATTAAGTAAAGATTCTTCTTTGGGTACAAATATTTTAAATAAGGACATTGAATAAAACTGTTGGTATGTACTAACTTTTTAAGTTCTTTTCTTTCTGCTTTTCTTAGTACTTCTGATGACATGGAAGAACGTTCTTTATCCTATGTTTTTTTTTAGGTAAATCGAAAGTTAAAATCATCTTCAGATTTTTATTTTCTTCTACGAAAGTATTATACATGAAACTATTCATTACTATTTGTTCTATTCTTAATTTGCCTATCATTCCTTCTATTTTTAAATGAACCAATAAAAACTATTAAAAAACAATTTTCTTTTGTTCTATAAAATAACCCTTTTTTCCTTTTTTTTTTTTTAGCTTTAATCTTTTCCAAATAATCTTCAAAATTCAATTTTCTTTTTCCTTCCTTTTCATCTCCATTTGATTTCTCAGATAGTTCTCAGAGTTTTCTTTTGAGAAAGAATCTTCTTGCGATCTTCTTTCTGCACCCAAGCAGCATATTATTTTAATACTTTACTTTATTTTTATTTTTTTACTTTAAACATTTCTTTGTTTCAGTCTTGAAGATCTTTATAGTATATACACTTTCTCATATAACATAAAACCAAATAACAATATTAAAAAATGTGACAAATAGTCAATGAATTAATTTCCACTTTCAATAAAGAATGTATCTTCAGGATTATATAATTGAGCAACAAGACGATAAATATAAGATGGTGAAACACCTTTTCTAAAAAAAAGTTAATAAACTTATTAGTTAACTCGAAATGAAGACAAATTTAAAACAAACTCATTTGTTATGAATAAATTGATCCAATCAGGTTGTATATAATCAAATGTAGAATTAATTACCCGAACATATTGAGCTTCTTTTATTTGATATTCATTAACAACAACAGTTTCATCTACATCTGATTTCTTTGTAAGAACTTCTTCAAGTCCAGTTGTTGTACGACCAATAGCTGGTGTAGATAAAATTGCTGGTGTTATTGGTAATGGTGATTGAATTAAAGAAAATCCATTTGAATTTGTTGGGAAATTTGGACAAATTTTATAAGCCCCAGTACATACATAAACTGGTACATGGAAATGGTTAGCTGCACTACATAAATTATAAGCTCCTGAAGTAGCAACAAGTCCACCATTTGCAAAAACTGAATGACATCCAAGAATAATTTTATTTACACGAGGTAAAATACTGAATAAAGATGATTCAGAAATTAAATGTGATTGAATTCCTTTAGCTTTTAAATCATTAACTATTTCTTGTTCTTCATGTCGTTGTAAACTTTCAATAACAATAACATTAAATTTTCTATTTCTTTTTGCTCCAGCTACAAATTCTAATACAGTTCTTGATTTACCATATAATAAAATAGTGTCATTATCATTAATATACAATTCTCCTTGTTCTGCAATACTTTCATAAAGTGTAGATAATTCTTGTTGAAATTCTTTAATCATTTCAACTAATAATTCTTTATATTTAATCATATCAACTGTACTTGTTGTTTGATGTTCAAATGTTAATCTATGTAATTCATTTGCTTGTACATCAAAATCTTCATTTAACATACTTTTTTCAACTTCTCTTGCCATAAACATAACACGACGAACAATATTTACTGTAGCATATTCTGATTGTGTCCCTATTTGAACATATTTACCAATTCCTTTTAAAACATTCATTAATTCTCCAGGTCTTTCAAAATGTTCTCTCTCAATAAGTCTTGATAATAATGAAAGAATTGGAGAAGATGATTGATATGCTCCATACACAACTCTATAATTTATTATAAATATATACAGTGTTATTAATTAAACTTATATAGATAAATTCAAACCCTCTTTTAATATTTTGAACAATCTCTTGAACTCTATTAAATGTTGATTGATACTTTTGCATTCTAATAATTTTTAGTTTTTCTTTTCTTAAAAAAAAAGTTATTTATAAAAAACACAAAATAATTCAAACCCTTTTTCTTTTTTCCTTTTTTTTTTAATAAAATTCAATTTAGATTATTTCCTTTTATCTTTAAATCTTATTTTTGTGGTTCTGATTTTGTTTCTTTACTTAATATCTTCTCTTCTACTTTAATTTCTTGGTAAATTGTATTTTTAATTAATTCATTTTTTTCTTCTTTTATTGGTTGTGTATTTAATACTTGTGGAATTGTTTTATCTTCAACCTTTTTAATAGGAATTATATTTGAAGGTTGTGGATCTTGTTTCATTTGTTCATCATTGTTTTTTTCAGACACATCATTCATTTCCTTTTCTTGTAAAGAAACCTCCTCTTTTGTTTCTTTTTGGGTTTGTTCTTGTTTTTCTTCCTCTTTAATTTGACTAGTAATAATTTCTTGTTCATTATTTGTTTTTTCTTCTGCATGAGTATTA